TTTCGTTTTTTTAAAAAGTACTCTAAACTGTATAAATAATGTAAAATTAAATTGAATTTATTAGCCAATCAGGCGAATAAGGAAATCAATATCGGGCTGGCGCACATTTAATGACCTGGCAAAAACACGCATTTCCACGTAGAAAGTGAATCTTTTTTTTGTGCTACTATGTCTGGAACCTCGTTTGAAAGCCCCAAGAGAAAGACTCGTAGAGAAATTAATGTAGAATACAGAAAACGTAAAAAGGAAAAAGATAAAGCCCTTCAAGATGAAATTAAAATTCTTCAAAATGAGCTGAGCAGTGCCCAGGGTCAAATTCTAATTCTCAAAGAAGAAATTTTAAGGCTTAGCAAGGAAATAAGAATTTTACAACAGAAAAATATTTTGCTACAGAATGAGTGAGTTTCCTTGTTAAATTATTGTTTCTCCCTTATTGCTTGCTATAACTATTCAATTATTCAATTGTTTTGGCCTTCACATTTTAGGCATATTTTAGATGAACAGATGACTTGTGATCTTGTCGAAAAACCAAGTAAGCTATCTATCACAATAACTTTATTTTTAAAACAATACTTAATATTAATATCTTGGATGTCTTGATATTAGATGATAGTTCGGAAAAGCTAGAAAAGCTCTTAGAAGAAAAAAGCATAAAGCGATACGACTTTTCTCAATTTAGCAACCTTAAAATTATTGGAAGAGGAGGGTCGGCAATTGTATATACAGGCGTTCATAAAGGAGAACAGTACGCATTAAAAACATTAAATAATTTGTATATGGATGAAAAGATAATGTTACAATACGCTGACGAGGTGACGTGCCATTCTTTATTCCATTTCGGATTTTCAACGTCCAAACTAATCAATCTTACTATAAATTCATTGCATTTAGCTCAAACTTCATTTTAAGATTGTTCACTCCAATATTATCAGCCTTTTTGGAACTTCAAGGGGTATAATCATATTTTTAAAAAATATCTATATTGGAATAAATCAAATTTAACCGTTTATATAACTTTTAAGAACCACAAACAGGTAAATTCATATTAGTATTGCAATATGCGAATGGTGGTACTGTAACGAATAAAATTTTCTTTTCTATTTTTATTAATATAGTTTTATTTTTTATTATTATATTATCATTTTATGTATATACGTAGTTCTTCTCCGTTCCATTTTCATAGCAGTAACCGACTTTCTTTGTAAATATTTTAATCACGTATACTAAAATGGTAGTTGATTGTGGCTTCGTGGCTTATTTTATGCAAGAGCGTATACGCTCAAAAAGAGCGTATACATCCAAAAAGAGCGTATACATCCAAAAAGAGCGTATACATCCAAAAAGAGCGTATACATTCAAAAAGAGCGTAAACGCTCTTACAAAAATAAAATGTATATAAGTGCCTGAAATTTAATAAAGAACGATATTGAATTCCATATCTTGTCCACCTTCAATTCCTAATAAACTATAAAGTGTATATACTTATCTGAATTTCCCCTGAATTTCCCTTGAGACTTTATCTTTTGAATTCGACTTGTAACTTTAATAACCCTTTCGGGACTCAATTCGACGGACTGAATTGACTGGTAACTTCGATTTGGCTTATTAAGACTCGGATTCCGGAACGGTTGTGGAATCAGATATTGCCATTCACATTAGTGACTTGCGGGAATTGTGATAGAGAACGATACTTACGATTAGTAATTCAAGTTGATCATCGTCCGCTTTACATCACCATCCTTAAGATCACCCCTTTGATATCACCCTTAACGGCATCACCCGTCATTGCTTCGCCCAATATCATCGTTCGTTGATATCAAAGTATTACTCTAAAGTACCATATCGCCCTACTAGTTCCCTAACACTTATAAGAGACCCATTTTACTTACCCAAAGTTAGCCTTATTATCCGTACACCGTTGGAGTTAGATTGGCATCATTTCCGTATTATTTTATTAGCTCTCCCATTCAACGGTTACAGTACTCTACGGAACTATTTACAAACCAAGTGGGTTAATGGCCACTATAAAATTTCATGGAATGAACTCATACAAATTGCAAAGGAAATTACTAGTGGGTTGGATTATTTGCATATGAAAAATATTATACATCGTGATTTGGTAAATTATATTTGTATATAGTTTTAATGGGTACGTGACAATTTCCCGAAAGTTATTTCCGCCAACCTATTTTCTCAACACCATATTCCCGACAAGACATTGCACCTACAGCATATTTCTTGACATGACATATTTTTGATATTACATATTTTCGATATTCCTTTTTCGACAAGACATATTTCTGACAAGACATTTGTCTAACATGATATATTTTTGAAAGCACATTTCTCTAAGGCAATATAAAGTTAATTGTTTCTCATAACCCGGCCGGTCAGCTTTTATAAATTTTTGGTACAAAATTTTATAAGCTATTTATTATTAAGGCAATTTCTATTTATACACCCGTGTATGAAACACGGGTATATTAATAACTCAAAATTTTGCTCATAAAACCACTTTTCGAGTTCTAACAAAAAAAAATCCACGTAAAATTTTACTATAAACTACCTCGAACCCCTAACCTCTAACCTAACTTTAATTCGATTTAATTTTTTTTACAAATTATACCCGTGTTTCATACACAGGTGTAAATTTATAAATTTTCTATTATTAATACTTCCCGGTTAATTTTTTTTAAAAAAAATTAGAAATCTTTAATGTTTTTTGGGCAAAAAAGCTTATAAAATTTTTTATAATTAAAACTTGAAGCCGGGCGGGTGGTCACTTTTAGAATTCTATATTATGAGAAACAATTATTTAACTTTGTATTGCCTAACATTACATATTTTCGATATTTTTTTTTCCCAGACAAGATATTTCCCGACAAGAAGTTTTTTTAACGGTGCGATTGGAAAGGTGAAAAAGTCTCTTAGTCCAGAAGCGACTTGTCCGCTACGAAGATGAGGGTGAAAATCCAGTGAAATAACTTTCGAGGAAATCAGCGTATACCATTTTTAATTGTGGGATGGTATTCATATCCCCATTTAGTATTCGTACAACTCAGAAAAACAATTTTTTTTTTAAACTTTAAATGAAGATCTCAAACTACTGCCTGACCGATTTCAATGAATTTTTTTTTTTTTGAATCTTACAGTGCGGGGCGCCTTAAACCAGCAACTCTAATAAATGATTGTAATTGTTTCATAAAAAGAACTAGTATAGCTAAATCAATATTTTTTCTGTAAAAATATAAAGACTAGAAAAACGGATTGATGAAAAAGAAAGAAAGGACGTGAGAGATAGGTCAGCAAGTAGTGATAAAATGTATCAAAGAATTGATAAGGAAATTAGAGACCCACCTGGACT